ATACACCTCTAGAGAGAATACAGATTTTTCAACAATTTGGCACAATGTTCCAAAAGTCTTCAACCGTTTATAATCTTTGATGAATACTTTTGCTACTAGAAATTTGCCCTAAAAATGAATTAGAAATGGTTACAAAAATCTTTGTACAAGGATGTTCATCATAGAATTGTTTACAAGGGTGAAAAATTGAAAAAGGTTAGAGACTCTGGCTATGTTGGAAGAGCGTGCAATTCTTGATCTCGGGGTCAAGTTCACATCCCATGTTGCGTATAAAGACTACTTTTAAAAATAAATAAGCTTTTAAAAAAAGATTAGGGGAGTGCCTGGGTGGCGCCGTGGGTTAAGCCTCTGCCTTCAGCTCAGGTCATGATCTCAGGATCCTGGGATGGAGCCCCTCATAGGGCTCTCTTCTCAGCAGGGAGCCTGCTTCCCCCTCTCTCTATGCCTGCCTCTCTGTCTACTTGTGATCTCTCTCTCTATCAAATAAATAAATAAAGTCTTTAAAAAAAAAAAAGATTAGGGGCTTTGTTACATAAATGAGATTGTATTTCATATAATGATGTATTGTGACCTTAAAAACATGTTTTAGAAAAGTATCTAATGATATGATAAAATATGGCATATTGCTTAATGAAGAAAGCAGGCTACAAAATGATGTATATGGGGCACCTGGCTGGCGCAGTTGGTAGAACATAGGACACTTGATTTTGGGTCACGGGTTCAAGCCTCATGTTGGGTGCAGAGCCTACTTTTTTTATTTTAGATTTTTTTTTTAGATTCCACATATAAGCGAGATTATATAGTTTGTGCCTTAGAAATTCTTAACATTTTTAAGAGAGAGCCTGGGTCAGAGAGTTGCTGAGTGTGAGCTGGGTTCAGAATGGAGAGAGTGAGCGCCTCTTTGGGTATCACATGGGAAGGGGTAGCAGGGGAAGAGAGGGCAGGAGGGTTCCACCAAGGTTTGATCAGCATTGTTTGCTTCTCCGTGACCTTGACCAAGCCTCTTTACTTGTCAGTTTCAACATCCCTAAAATGAAGCTAATCATTCCTGCCTACTGCAGGGTCATGAGAATTGATGAAATTCTGTGTGTGTGCTCTTTAAATATTTGTGGTGTGTTACCTGGACGCAAGTGGTGTTATTATTACCTTAAACAAGTGACTACCCATCTCTGATGCTCGGGGTCCTCTTAGAACCCTCAGAATGGGTTTCCAGCTCTCACAAGTACTGTGAGGTAGTGAATCTGTGAGGTAGTGAATCTCGGGTGGTGTCTGCTTTTATGCAAGATACCATCACACACCCAGGACACACTTTTGACTTTGGTGATCATGAAGAGGAAGAGCGATGGCATATCTTTGCTTCGTCTTTTCCTCTCCCTTTCCAAGCATCCCCTGGTCTGTTGGCTGTGGGTCTTTCTGTCATTTGTCCTCTTCTCCAGGGGCTGGGGTCAGGAGCTTCCTTCGGGTCTCTCTGCCCCAGTAAGGGAAGGATTTAGACTTGATAAGGTCTGCCACATCAGAAGCCCTCACGAGTGTCCACAGTCCTCACTTTACCCCCAGAGCGACACGGGGACTGAGTCATATCATCAAGGGCAACTTTGCCAGCTCTGCCATTCTTCTGAACTCCTCAGATCACTCATCACCCCGGAGGGGGCCCTGGGTTCCCACACTGTGCCCTGAGAAAGAACCCTGGAGGTCAAGGGAGGTGAGAAAAAAGGCCCAGAATTAGTCACAAGAATGAAGTCCGAGTCACACATGGCAAATGTGCCCAGCCTTTGACCAGGTGCTGACCTTTTTTTCTTTTCTTTTTTTTTTAATCTTTTTTTTAAAATTTGAGTAGAGTGGATGCTGACCTTTTCAAACCCCAGAGCAGCTCCACCCTTCTCACCGCCACAGCCCACAGCGAGGGCAGGATGGTGAGGGCACACGGAAGGCCAGGGCAGGGAGGGGAGGGGGTGGGGATGGGGGTGATGGGGCGGGGGCAGCCAGGCCCGGAACCAGATAATCCCAAGGCGGGGCTCCTGAGGTTTGTTTGTCTAAAACACCACAGCTCACAAAGTACTTTCAAGAACATGATTTGCTTTGATCTACCAGGCAGCCCAAGCAGACATAATCATCTCCATCCTTCAAGATGAAGAAAGTGAGGCCCACAGGCAGGGAGACACCCCAGGACAGGCAGCTCGTTGTGGCAGTGGGAGGCAGGACCCAGGACGATGTTAGCTCCCCCCACCCCCCCGACTTTGGCAGTTTCACAGTCTTTGGAGAACTGCCCTTAAAAGAAAAGTTACACAAATTTCGGGAATAAAGAGATGGAGGGAGGGATCTGTAATCCCTCTACTCTAACACAATCACTGCTAACATTTATTGAGTTTCCTCTAGACTTCTGTGCCCTTTTATCAAACATACATAAAATGACTTACATTCCTCCTACTCCTCACAATATATCCTATTATTTCATATTGTGGTGTGGTTCGGATGATCATTCCTTCGACAGGTGGTTCATGAGTGCCCCAGCCATACCAGGCAGTGTTCCCGGCAATGCCGACACGTGGGAACACGGCACTGAATAAAGCAAACTCCCTTCACTTAGGGAGCCCTTATTCTGATGGGAGAGACAAGGAACAAAGAAGTAAGACAGATGGCATTTCCTTCCTTAGCACCACGAGAAAAGCAACATACCTGGGATGCTTCAAACTTGTGGGAGAGAAAGCAAAGAGCAAAAGATAGTTTTTGTCCACGTGACTTTGATTTCGTGGCATGTAATGTTTTGCTTTACCCAAACCCCTTGAACAGTTATTGAGCTTGAAGTGAGTGGGTGTTCAACACAGGAAAACTTGTTGCCTTCTTTTCTTTTATGGTCCACATTTTCCGATCTCTCCTTTAAGCAACATCTTAAGAATCTGCATAACAGTTATGTTAAGGAGGGCCTCCCTTTCAGGCTCAGTCTTTAAGAATGTTTTAGAACTTAGTGCATCAAATTTTCTTATTTAGTATTATTGTCTTAGTAGAGAATGGTGAACATGAAATCACAGGGTCACAGAGAATGAAGAATTTGGAGGGATGGGATATGAATATTTTTTAAAGCTCTGCATATTGATTGACAAATTGCTTTCTTTTTTTTTTTAAATATTTTCTTTATTTATTTGACAGAGAGATCACAAGTAGGCAGAGAGGCAGGCAGAGAGGAGGAAGCAGGCTCCCTGCTAAGCAGAGAGCCTGATGTGGGGCTCAATCCCAGGACCCTGGGATCATGACCCGAGCTGAAGGCAGAGGCTTTAACCCACTGAGCCACCCAGGTGCCACGACAAATTGCTTTCTAAGAGAATCTGCCCTTTGGGTGCCCGGCTGGCTCAGTCCATTAAGTGTCTGCCTGGGGCTCAGGTCTTGGGATCAAGCCCCGAATCAGGCTCCCTGCTCAGCGGGGAGCCGGCTTCTTCCTCTCCCTTTGCCTGCAGCTCTGCCTGCTTGTGCACACACACTCTCTCTCTCTCTCTCTCTGTCAAATAAATAAATAAAATCTTTAAAAAAATAAAGAAAATAAAAGAATCTGCCCTTTGGCAATACATACGGGAGTGCTCATTGAACCAGCTCTTTCCTGAACCTGCGCCTTGTCTTCCTCTGTGAAAACTGGAAGTTTACTGGTCCTCTTTCACTCTTGTGTGAGTATAAAAGAAAATTTCCAAGGACCCCCAAGGCAGGCTAATTCGGTGACTTTCGCAAACAAAGGGAGGAAACTTTCTCTCCATGTCGTGTCTGTATCGTGTGTGTCTGTGTACGCGCACGCACACTTCCCCAGCCCCCAACCCTCACCCCCGTCAGGCGGAGTTCTGCATTGGGAGGGAAATGTTGAGGGAGCTCAATGAGTCAGGAAGTCAGGAGAAGTAAATTGGTAGGAGTAGAAGTGGAACCTTAGAACAGCCAAGAGAAGCGCTTCGCTTGTGAGCTGAGGTTTCGTTCACCGCATCCCAACCCACATGAGAGCTACCTTCCCTATCTTGCAAGCCCACCATATGGCATAGAATAATTTCTTTCTTTCTTTTGAAGATTTATGTATTTACTTAAGTAATCTCTACACCGAGCGCGGGGCTCGAGTCCATGACCCTGAGAACAGGAGTCCCATGCTTCTTGGACTGAGCCAGCAATAATTTCTTGCCTCCGAGAGCAATGGTGAGCATAGAAGAGCCATCCATGGGAGACTTGAGCTCTTAAACTGTAAGAGTGTCTGAATTTGTCCTGCTGGCACCAGGGACCCCACAGACTCCAAGTCTTGCCTCGCTCTGGGTGTGTGGGAGGAATGTGCTTAATCTTTCTTAACAGCCTCACCTACTGAGAGGCAGCTGACAGGTGGGGTCACAGTGGGCTGTGACATTCAATTCATTTTAATCCAACACCCCCAAATGCTAAAGACAAATGCAGTGGTATTAGGTAGGGGGTTAAGCAGCTTGAGAATGAATGCCCTGGATTCAGACCCAATCTAGCACTGATCTCAGGGGGTGCCCCCCCCAAGCCTGCAGCTTTATGATCGGCCTGATGGAGAGCTGGCTGGGAGGCAGTTCTCAAGGAGAATTACCTTCCTTTCCCTGCACTGACATTCCCTTAGGCCAAATCCTCTTAAATCAAAAGTATAAACACCGAATTCCCAAACCCTCCAGAAACCTCAAAGGGTAAGTCAGAGTCAGAAAATGGATAGACGGTCTCAAAAAGGATAGGGAAAAATGCCCAGTACACATTCAAAAAAATCACAGTGACTCATTTCCTCTTTGAAGTGACACCTGGCTAGCAGATGCCCTTACGTCTTTTTTTTTTTTTTTGTAACCTTCAAAATGTGAAACATCCTTTCAAATAATAAAAGCAAAGGATTTGCTGCCTTTCTGTAGGATTACTGCACTCGCAATGGTGCCGCTAACTGTCTAGGTTCCTGACATTGCACTAAATCCTGATCATCTGAGGTTAACCTCAACTACTGGGTTGATCTTGTCTGACCCAGGATTGGATTTTCCTCCCCACATTCATTTCACTCCCACTGCTCAAGTAAAGAAAGACATGATTGTCAAGCTCAGGCTAGCAAGTTTTTATTGAGAACGGTACCTGACATGGACGATTCTGGTGTCCCCGGCTGAGTGACAGAGAATTTGAATGTCTGGTGAAAGATTTCAAAATCTTCTGTCCAGAGGGAAGGGCCAAGATAATTTCCAGGGTAGGTCCATCTGCTTCATGGGGATGGGGAGAGGATACAAAACTAGGATAGGCCTAGCACTTTCGGGGAAATTGTCAGGAGGAATTAAGTGGACAGTGCACACTGAAGCTAGTCCCCACAGCTTTGGTGAGCTTTGAAAATGCAAACCTGAACGGATAGTGATTAATGATACAGCATAGACAGCTACAAAGATGACTAAAGGCAAAAGGGCTGTCAATTCCCATATTCTATAGAATTTTTTGGAGAGTGAGAGGGCCAGAGGGTCTGACTTCCATAAGATATTTCTCAGAAGGCAGTGGCTATTGTAGGGGTTCAGAGAAAGCACAGCCGGAGATAGCATAGCTTTTGGGGGGTGGTGGGCTGTGTTTGGTATTCTGACCAGCGCCATTCCCAATGGGGCAGAGAAGGAAACCATTTCCCTTCCTTCTACTTGGTGAACCTGTGGGTGTCCAGACTGCTGCCTGCTTTATCTCCTTAGACCTTTATTGGACTGAAAAAATCAGCCCCATTGCCCACTGGGCTGAGAGAACGGCTGCTCTCAGCAGGCTGGTTTGGGGGCGGGAGTTCCAAAAGCGCTGAGGTCCTGAGAAAGCTGATGGAGGCGGCCCCGGGAGTCCAGGCAGTGCCGGCCCGAGCGCGCTGCCGGCAGCAGAGAAGGCAAGTCTGGGGAGTCTCTCCCCCTCGGTCCCCCGAGCCTCCCTCCCCTGCGGGCTCCGGGGCCGCCACCTCCGCCAGGCGGGGGACAAGCTAGGGCAGGGCCGGGCCAGCGCTAGCCGTCCGCGCTCGCTCCCAGCTGCCGGCGGGGCTCCGGAACACGGAGCTGTCGTCCCTGGAGAGCGAGGACGCCGAGCTGCCCCCGCGCGCCGGGCGGTCGGGGCGGTCGGGGCGCCCGCAGACCCCGCGCCAGGCCCGGGCGCGGAACGAGCGGTCCAGCAGCAGGTAGATGAGCGGGTTGGCGCAGCTGTTGACGAAGGCCAGGCAGGTGGCGATGCTGAGGCCCCAGCGCAGCGCCAGCAGCAGGCCGCAGGGCAGCGGCAGCGCCCCCAGCCGCGCCAGGTGGAAGACGGCCCGCAGGGCGCCGAAGGGCAGCCAGGAGCCCACGAACGCGCCCTCGACGGCGAAGATGATGCGCAGCGAGTTCCTCCGGGCCCGGCCCAGGTGCGGCGGCCGGCGCAGGCGGCGCGAGATGAGGCAGTAGCAGACCAGGCTGACGCCCAGGGGCAGCGCGCAGGTGAGCAGCAGCAGCAGCAGGCTCAGCGCCTGGAAGGCGTCGGAGGGCTCCTCCCCGCACTGGCTGCCCCGGCCGCCGGGGAGGGGCTGCAGCTCCCGGTAGGCCAGGGAGGGCAGGCCGGCCAGGAGCGCCGTGGCCCAGACGCCGCAGCAGGCGGCCAGCGCGCATCGCGGGGTGCGCAGCGGCCGCGCGTCGAGCAGCTTCACCACCGCCAGGTAGCGGTCCACGCTGAGCCCGGCCAGCAGCAGCGCGCCTGCGCAGCGCGTGCCGGCCAGCGCGAAGCCGCTGAGCTTGCACAGGCCCTCGCCGAAGGGCCAGCGGCCGCCGCGCGCCGTCGCCACGGCCCACAGCGGCAGCGTGAGCACGAGGCCCAGGTCGGCGGCGGCCAGGTGCAGCACGAAGGTGTCCACGAGCCGCCGCGGGCCGCGCCGCCCAGCCAGCAGCCACACCACGAAGGAGTTGCCCAGCAGGCCCACCACGAAGGCCGCCAGGTAGAGCACCGGCACGTAGGCGTAGCTGTAGGGCAGGTCCCGGACCCGGCACGGCTCCAGGTCCTCCAGGTCGCCGGACCCCGAGTAGTCCCAGGACGGCGTCCTCGGGGTGGGGATCCAGGGATCAGTGAGAGGCATGGCGGGGGAGGAGCGCGAGGCCCGTGGGGGACGCAGCCTGGGTGTAGGCGGCAGCAGCTCTGAGCGCGAGGTTGTGTGTGTGTGTTGGGGGGGGGGTGCTCTTCACGGCCGGTGCCCAGCACCTCCCTTCCTGCCACCCAGACCGAGGCAGGTGGGTGGGCAGGAAGGTGAGGGAGGAGCGGGGTGGCGTGGGAGGGGCAGGCTCCTGGGTAGAGGCCTACGATTTGGGGCTGGCCCCAGGGGAAGTGCAGGGAACCTGGCAGAGGAGACTTGGAGAGGGTTCTTGGAGGGAAGGTCCCTCCCCGTGGGAGCCGTCTGGTCGGACGTCAGGTTGCAAGAGTTGGCGGGTGCCCGACAGCCCCCATCTGTTTTCATCTCCCACTTGGTTCCCGTCGGTGCTCGGCTCTGTGGTTTCCTCTAGTTTTATTAGAGGTGAGGGGCTAGAACCCCCGCTGACGGTTTTGTAAGGGGGTGGTGTTGCGGCAGCCTGCTGCGTGCTGGTTCTGCTGTCTGGTGCACAATGGGGCCGGGGTGAAGGGGGGTCTCCACTTGGGAGCCCACTTCCTAATCAGGAATTGGCCACCAGAGCTCTCCGGGTGTTTTTAGCCTCCTGAGGCACCAGGCTAAATGTCCTAACTCAAAGAGTGGCTTTTTCTGACCAAATCAGCTCCTTATGGAGCCACACGGGAAGGTTTTAAGCTAGAAAGAAAGAGGTATATCCAGACAGAAAAGGTGAGGGGCCTGGGATTTAATCCCAGCCCTTGTTTATCTGCCCTCATCTGGTCAAACCTCCCTGTTAAGCCAAACACAGATGTAAATTTAGGAGGAAAGATGATTCAAGATGGTACCTAATTTAGAGCAGATTGGGAGTCAGAAGTTTAGAGGAGGGTGAGAGCCCTTATGGTCGGAGTCAGGGGAGGACTGATGAAATGGTGAGAATGACGCCTGACCTTGACTGGGGTGGTGGCCCCCGTGAGGAGAAGATGGGAGGTGAAGGAAAGTTTGCCCTTTCTCCAGGAGGTACCCTTTCTTCTCGCATTCAGTGGGTTGCCTTTTCATTGTGTGGATGGTTTCCATTGCTGTGCAAAAAGCCTTTTAGTTTGGCGTGCTGTTTCTACAGCAAGGATTCTGGGCAACTCTAGTTAGGTCCAGATCCTTTTTTAAAGAAAAATTTTTAAAATGTTATATATTGAAGTACCGACATACAATATTATATTAGTTTCAGGTGTATTAAATAGGGATTTGACAATTCTATACGTTACGCAGTGCTTACCACCGTACGTGTATTTACCGTCTGCATGATACTGTGCAATGTTGCTACAGTATTAGTGACTATATTCCGTACGTTGTACTTTCCATTCCTGGGAGTTATTTATTTTATAGCTGGAAGTCGGTACCTCTTAATCCGCTACACCTATTTTGCCCACCCTCCAACTCTCCTCCTCTCTGGCAACTACCAGGTCTCCGTATTTATGAGTCTATTTTTGTTGTTTATTTGTTCATTTTTTTTAGGTTTTATTTTTTTTAAAGATTTTATTTATGTATTAGACAGAGATCACAAGTAGGCAGAGCAGCAGGCGGTGGGGGTGCAGGGAGGGGGCTGGTGTGTGGAAGCAGGCTCAATCCTATGACCTTGAGATCATGACCTGAGCCAAAGGCAGAGGCTCAACCCACTGAACCACCCAGGTGCCCCATTTTTAGGTTTTATGTATATGAGTGAAATCAAATGGCATTTGTCATTCTCTGAAAATTTCATTTGGCAGGATCTCGGTCCTTTTTTATGACTGATTAATATTTCATTTCATATATATATATAATTAGAGCATATATAGAATATATAGAGAACACATAGGCACACCACATTTCCTTTATGTGTTTGTCTATCAGTGAACACAGGTTGCGTCCATATCTTGGCTATTGTAAATAATGATGTAATGGGGGCACCTGGGTGGCACAGTCAGTTAAGAATCTGCCTTCAGCTAAGGTCATGACCCCAGGATCCTGGAATCGGGCTCCCTGTTTGGCGGGGAGCCTGCTTCTCTCTCTCCTCCCAACTCCTCTCTCTTGCTATTTTTGTCTTTCTCTCAAATAAATAAAATCTTTAAAAAAATGATTCTGTAATGAACATGGGGTGTAGATGTATTTTCGAATTAGTGTTTTCATTTTCTTTGGTTAGATACCCAAATGTATGATATTTCTGTTTTTTTTATTTTATTTTATTTATTTATTTATTTGGTAGACAGAGATCATAATTAGAGAGACAGGCAGAGAGAGAGGGAAGCAGGCTCCCTGCTGAGCATAGAGCCCAATGTGAGGCTTGATCCCAGGACCCTGAGATCATGACCTGAGCTGAAGGCAGAGGCTTAACCCACTGAGCCACCCAGGTGCCCCAATATTTCTGTTTTTATTAAGAAACCTCCATACTGCTTTCCAAAATGGTTGTGTCTATTTCTGTTCCCACCAGCAGAACCCAGAGGTTGCCTCTCTACCACATCCTCACCAACGCTTGTTATTTCTTATGTTGTTGATACTAGCCATTCTGACTGGTGTGAGGGATCGCCCATTGTGGTTTTGATTTGCAGTTCCTTGATGACGAGCGATGTCGAGCACCTTTTTAGGGTCTGTTGGCCATCTGGGTGTCTTCTTGGGGAAAATGTCTACTCAGGTCCTCTCCCCATTTTCTAAATTGGGTTATTTGTGGGTTTTTTTGATGTTGAGCTGTTCTTTGTATATTTTGAATATTAACTCCTTATGGAATAGGTCATTTGCCAGTACCTTCTCCCATCTAGTAGGTTGCCTTTTCATTTTGTTGATGGTTTCCTTTGCCGTGCAAAACTCTTTGTTTTGGTGTGGTCCTGATTGTTAATCTTTGCTTTTGTATGGGTCTGAATTCTTAGCAGACATCACTCCCAGGAGACACTGTGTTGGGACCAATGGTTCTGTGTCTGTGCCCACTCAGAACCCACCACACTGTCACCAGGAATGAGTGACTGACTGACCTGTTGGTCACTCTGGTGTTGGAAAATTTGAGGCGGATTATCGATTTTGATTCGATTCACTTACCAGTGAGCGCTGTCATGGGGCAGGCAGCATTTCAGGCATTGAGAGAGCTGCTTGCTGTTCTTGACCTTAGAGACTCACTGTTGAGGCAGGTGACAGATACAGATGCCCAGGCAGTGGCCAGTCTACCAGACATCAAACTGAGAAAGGCGGAAGTCCTCTTGGAGGTTAGAGGAAAGAGCAATTACTTCTTTTTTTTTTTTTTTTAAAGATTTTATTTATTTATTTGACGGACAGAGATAACAAATAGGCAGAGAGGCAGGCAGAGAGAGAGGAGGAAGCAGGCTCCCCGCTGAGCAGAGAGCCCGATGCGGGGCTCCATCCCAGGACCCTGGGATCATGACCTGAGCCAAGGACAGAGGCTTTAACCCACTGAGCCACCCAGATGCCACAAGAGCAGTTATTTCTGATGGAAGAGACGTCAGTAAAGGCCTTCCAGGAGATGACCCTGAAGTGCAGGTCCCAGAAGGAGCTGGAAGGTGAAATAGAGCAGCAGGAGGACATGGGCCCAGTGTGACCAGAGCCCAGGGTGGGAAGCGGGTGGCAGGAGAGGAAACAGGAAAGGTAGCAGCGAGCAGGTCACAGGACGATCTTGATTTCATTGTATAGGTAGTGGAGAGTCACTGGACATTTGTGAGTAGGGCATGACCTCTTTCTGTTTTGAAAAGATCACTGGCAGAACTGTGGATTGGACAGCGGAGAAGCGAGGCTCAGGCCAGGGAGAACCCAGAGTAGGCTGTTGTAATTCTTTGGGTGGCGGGGGAGATAGCACCTGAAATAGATTACCGGTGCTGGGGACAAAAGGGGGAGCATCAAGAGATCATTATAGCGCTGTGGGTCTCAGCAGAGAGGAGTCAACTATGGGCCTGGGATGGCTGTGTTTGGGAACTATATGGATGCCGTCCCATTTGCTGGGCTCAGGGAACACCGAGGGGCCCATGCGTGTAGGTGTCCTGTTTCCTATTGGTTTGAGGTTGGGTCATGAAATAATGTATGATCCAAACCGGGGCATTTCTGAGAGCGAGAGGATCTATGGTAATTAACCCGGGCCATAAACCAGGACTGTTCTGGGCAAACTGAGACATAAAGTCATTCTAGCCTGATGTCCCTGTGGTCCATAGGGATCCTCAGGGAGTGGGAAGGCTTAAGGAGTCTTGGCCGTGCCCATATCCAGGCCATTCTTGTCAAGATTGTCTCTCCCCCGCCAATTACAAGAGGTGGAGAGACACTCTAGAGGAGAGGCCAGGGAATGAATGGTTTTGGTTCTGCCCTCCATGGGCATCCCAGTCCTCAAGCCTGAGTTTCCTCTGAAGACCCGCCCAGAGGGTGGGAACCTGTGGGGGCTGCCGGAGATTCAGAACAGTTTTGCTCATCCCTAGAAGGATTTTCTTTTCTTTCTTTCTTTTTTTTTTTTCACATTCCATTTTAGAAGTCCTCCACATACTTTTTTTTAAAACAACAGTTTAAGAATCGTTAGTCATTAGAATGCACGCAGTTTCATCGTCTGCTTGTTTCATGTCTGATCATGTGTCTGATGCCCACAATCCTGGGGGGCCTCGGGGGCTGCAGCCTCCTTCCCTAGAAGGCTAGCAGGGGCAGTGCTTACTTGCCAGAGCCCGTAGGTGATCGGGGACAGGCCCGGTGCCACTGGGCCTCACTTCCCGTGGGGCACACGGCAGTCTGGAGCAGGGAGCCCATGAGTGATTGTGAAAGCTAGAGGTGACAGCCAGGAAACCGCCAGGTGAAAAAGAAGAATGGGGCAAGGGACTGAGAGGGAAGCCTGGGGAGGGGAATGAGGGGGAAGGAGAAGTAGGTTGTTTATTAAAAACACAGATTCTTGCTTCCTGGAGCTGTGGTCTCATACCCAAGAGAAGTGTGTGGCCCAGAGCACATGGCAGATTCTCTGTGCTACTGCTGAGCCCTGTGGGTCTTTGTGAACCTGTCTGGATGGGAGGAAACAGCAAAGGCCAGAGCTGG